GCTCTAGTCCTCCCACTGACACCGATGATGGGGGCTCTAGTCCTCCCACTGACACCGATGATGGAGGCTCTAGTCCTCCCACTGACACCAATGATGGGGGCTCTAGTCCTCCCACTGACACCAATGATGGGGGCTCTAGTCCTCCCAATGACACCAATGATGGGGGCTCTAGTCCTCCCACTGACACCAATGATGGGGGCTCTAGTCCTCCCACTGACACCAATGATGGGGGCTCTAGTCCTCCCACTGACACCAATGATGGGGGCTCTAGTCCTCCCACTGACACCAATGATGGGGGCTCTAGTCTTCCCACTGACACCAATGATGGGGGCTCTAGTCTTCCCACTGACACCAATGATGGGGGCTCTAGTCTTCCCACTGACACCAATGAAGTGAACACTAGTCCTCCAAATGATAGGTTTCAATTCATCTCACTTTTACCAATGATGTGGCACTATTTCTCCCACTGACACTGATGATATTGCATTATCCCCCCCTCCCACTAGCCACAGACGCTGGGCCATTTTTTTCTTCCACTGCTCACCAACCCTGGGGCATTTTTTACTTTCATTGACCACTAAGCCTTGGGTATTTAACTACTCTCACTGACCAGAGCCTGACCCCACTAAAACCTGGCTGGCCCCTGAACTGTAAAGAAATTTTAAGCCTCACAATTATAAATCAGAGATGGGTGGGGTTTATGTAACAAAATAAAACTAGGTACTACAAAAAAGGGGCAAATCCAGGTATTGATCCCCTGCCACTTCATTACTGGTGGACCCAAGTAAGGAAGAAGTCCTTGTGTGCCCAGCACAGCACAGAAAGTCTTTTCAAGTGAGCTGTAAGACAATGAGTTCTCCATATGCTACAATGGAAAATCCTTAGCAGGCAAGTGATATAGCTTTTCTATCTCCTGAGGCCTCTAATAAAAGTCACTATAGAAAACAGCTAGAAAAGCCTCATCCAGATCAGCACAGTCATGCACCCTGGTACAGCAGTAACTACTCACCAGAGGAATAAACTCTACTTCATACACAGTATCGGTGTAATGCAGTACAGTGTGAAATCGAAGATATTCCTTAAAAGATACCTGTACCAAGGCAATTATGGAGACTCCATTTGCTTACCGCCTTCTGAAAATAGCCCTTGCCTGGCTGTGTCTTTTGGACACGGACCCTTCTGCCATCACTGTAAAAGGTATGGTACGACAACAGGATGTAAACAAACCCACAGATGTTAGGAGCTTGTTTACATCCTTCTCAGCCGAATATGGGTTTCCTAATAAATGCAATTCTGTGGAGCCCCCTGGGAATGTGTAGTAGTTAAGTTTGCACAAGCATTATATATTAAGAAAAAAAAAAAAGATTTGAACACAGGTGAGAACGGTTTCTGTCAGCAAATGGAATTAAGGTTATTTATATATTCTTCAAAATCTTCAAAGACCCAAAAAACGTTGTAACAACTTCTAAACACCCACTATTTTTTTTACCATAGATGGCTGGCAGGCTGCCAAGTTACTCCTGCCATATAAAATTTGAAGGGAGGAGTTGTGAAATCAGCACTGTGAACTTTGAAGATTACATTTCTTCACAACGCTCACAGCTACACAGATGAATAGGGGCTTGTTTAAAAATTCTTTTACTGCTTGTTTAGAAAATGAAAATACCTTAATGTGATTATTCTGGACAGAGCTGAATTTTAAAAAAGCCAGTTGCTTAGCTGTCAATTTAATAAAACACTGAGAAGATCATGGAGGCTGTAATTGATGAACTCTCCTTTGCTAATGCTAGTTCCTTGTCTGTCAAATCAACGCTTTGGCTTCAGTGCTGTTTGGAGTAGCTGACGTGGAACAAAGATTCCAAAAAAGTAGGTCTGACACTTACTTAAAGCATGCTTTTTCTGGGCTCATAATTTTAAAGTACTTAAATTATACACAGCCAGGCAACTAGCATTTTTAGGAGAGCATCAATGGCAGCCCTTAAAGTAGAACTAAAAAGGTAAAACTTTTTTTGCTTAATTTTGGAAGGAGAGGGATATAACCCCTGGTTTTTTTTGTCATCTATGTCCCTTCACTTCCCATAGCCAAAACAGGGAGTGAGTGGAAATCCCTGCAAAGTGAGGGAAACCTAGGGGGTCACCAGAACTAGTGTCCCCATTGGAAGGCTTCCTCTTTATTACTGCTCTGTGGGGCAACCCAACATTTGTTTTTTCTTCTTCTTACTTTCGATGAAAAATGATAACATGGCAAAGAGGGGATGAATCTCCCTAACACAGAGAGACATACCACAATAAAAATCTGGGAGGTGTTCTAGTCCCTCTCGGCTCTGTCCAAAACAAAATAAAAACATTTTTTTGGTTGAAAGCCGGAGTCACTTTAAAGAGAGGCCTGCAATGGTAGTCTACACATTTTTCTCAGTACAGGCATCTTAAAGTGTATTTCAACTTTTGCAGTCAAATTTGAATACCCCCACAAGATGTAAGTTACGTTCACACAGTATATCTCAACATTATAAGAAACATTTCTTACCTTTCTAGCTGCTTCTTTGGAGCAAGCTTAAAAACTGGACCATATAATCACCTTTATTTAGAGCAGCTTGCAATATACAATCAGGGACCGACTGAGGGGCAGTTTTTTTTAAAAGCACACTAACATGCAACATGCCAACCAAGCCTTGAGATCTTTAGGTCTTTGTTAGGAAAGACAGTGTGCACATCTAGGTTACACTGATGAGATCTGCCAGCACAGTACAGACAGGAATAAGAATGGTAACCTCCACAGCTCAACTCTTTAACATCACATAGAAGGAGAAAGCTAGGTAAGATTTTTTTAAGAGAGCTGAACGCTCAGTTCTCCCTCTCTGCTCTGAGCAAAGAGCCGTGACTCCCAGTCTCCGGCTCCCTGTTCTGCCCCTCCAGCGCTCAGTGGAGTGCTGCACTATGGAGTGGGCAGGAGGGCTCTCAGCGAATCACTGAGAGGCTGAGCCAAGTGCCAGTCCAGGCTTTTGTGTGGATCCCGACAACGTGATGTCAGCCGACAGTGGACTTTAGCCCACTGTCGACTGAAAATGGGTCATAGAGGTTTAGAACAAACTGCACTCCTGTGATCCATAGGAGAACAGCCAAAAAAGCTTTGGCTATACTTCTCCCTTAAGCTATGTGAAAAGGATAATGTAACAAATATAAGGTTGTGTTTTCCCTAATTTAGCTGCAAAAGTGGAAATACATTTTAAATTCAAAGAATTCACCACAGCAGATCCCACCCAAACAGGGGATGACTGTGCTGATGGCAAGTAGAACCATTTTTACTGGTGTAATAAAAAGTATTCTATTGAAAGAATGTACCTCTACTATTACTGTCCTTTTTTATAAGTTCTGATATCCTCCCACAATAATGTCACATACCTTCCCACAATAATGTCAGCTGTAAATTATTGCATACTTTTGTAACATATGGTAAACCTCGACTATCAGACATACCTGAAAACAAAAAGGGGAAACTATATGTAGGCAGTCAACACAAATATGTCAAATCAAATCATAAATGTTAATGGAAGTTAGCATATTTTGTATACATTTATTCACAAACTAAAATTCTCACTGATCAGGTAGGTAAAAGACGGAATACTACTTTTCAAATGTAAAATTTTAAAACTAGAAAATGCCACACAGGAGCATGAAAAACTCCAAATCCTCACAAGGCAACCATTTGGGACCTAACGGTAAAGAAACACTGGCATATAAATAAAAAGACCTCTGGTCATGGTTCTATGATCATGGATATGCCAAATTCCAGGGAAAAAAAAGAAAAAAACATCAATGACAGGATATGAAACTGTCTTGGCTACCATTAGCGGACGCTTCAAAGCATACAGCAGGAAACACACTTCCACTAGAAGTTACTTTAAAGAAAACAAACAAAAGAACAATGCACTGCATTAAATAAAACCAGTAAAACAAAATGGCTTAAAGAGACATCACAAACACACAAAAGGAAAGAAAAAAAAAAAAAACACACAAAAAGGCTAAGGTGACCATTGAATCCACATCAGTTGTACACCTGCAAGTCTCAGCTCATTCTAAATGCTTGCTGGGACTTGTAGTTCTGCAAAAGCAAGGGAGTCGCAGGTTGCCCACCTCTGCTGTAGAGAATTCAGCATAAACACTGATTATGTTTCCCTTTCTGACTTCCGCCAATGACAGAACTATAGCAACCATTCTATACCAATACGTGGCCTACCTATACTGAGTGAGCACAGTTTAAAATAGACAAAGGTCAGCCACGCCGCAATCTTTGTCACATGACCTATTCTGATAAATATATACATGCTTGAACCTTGTTTGCCTGGTCCTCTATAAGTCCACACAATTGAACAGAGTAAACATAATACTGTAGCTTGTTTCTCTTAGGACACGTCAGTTCCAATAACCATTGTGCTTCAGTATTAAAAAAACAAAAAAACACACAGCTGACTTGGCAACTGCTTGGGACATGTATATCCACATATAGTCATCACTGTCTTCCTAATAGCAGGATAGACACTGCCTATTGTGTTATTCTTAAAAGAATCTATATAACATAAAAAATGAGCAATTTCAGCAGTAAAAATCAGAAAATACTTTCTCTATTTAGGACCTTAGCACAATTCCAATCTACTAACGCCATATTCACACTACAGTAATCCACCAGATATTATTTAGACAATGTTGGGGGCAGAGGACTGCAGGCTGAAGAAAATAAGGATGGGGAGGGGTGTACAAGAGATCCAGTAATAGCATTATTGGTTTAGACCATGCACAACCAATACGCCCATGGAGTGCCTGAGGTGCCTGCAATCATACGTGACATTCCGATTTCCAACTGGCACTGAATGGGCCTGAATTTAGCAAATACACATGGCAAGTGCAATTTATAGTCTTTTGTGGGTGCTGCAAATACGGCTGGAGGAGAGGAGCGTGACTGGACAGAGATAACTGGTAATGGTCACTTGCAGCTGGCTCCCTTACATCTGGTTACCCTTGAAGGCATTCTGGGCAGCGCTGCTCGCAGCCGTAGAAGCAGCATTGGCTGCAGCAGTCTGCACGGTTTTGTTGGACATCACCCCTGTAGCAAATTCTTGTTGGGCCTTTTCAAAGCTGGCGCCTGTTGTCCGGTACAGTCCATGTACCTGTGAAAGGTAATTAAAAAAAAAAAAAAAAAACACAAAAGTAAACAGCATTTGACATATGATATATAATAAACCACCTATATTAGATGTTGCCATATTCAAGTGTTTTTCATTCTCTGAATGACGTTTAGAATACCAAAGATGCCAAGTAAGAAATAAATTGGAGTTTTTTTGTTTACCTGTAAAATTCTTTTCTTAGAGAACATCACAGGGCACCTTGTATTCATAACTACTTGGTTTATGCTGCCACCTTCAGTTGTCTGGACACTGGCCAAAAAGGCAGGATTCTCCACACAGGTATAATGGCGCCAAGCGCAGCTAATCCTCAATTTTGCAATGAGGAATGCAGACAATAGGGGAGGGATCCACGTTTCCTGCGATGCACTCAGAGAAAAGGATTTTACAGGTAAAGCAATAATCCTAATTTCTTAATCACAGGGCACTTGGTACTTCATGACTACTTGGGATGTCCCAAAGCACTGACCATGAGGGGTGGCAAGACAGCAACAAAGTTAAAACACCCAAAAACCAAAACAGAATAGGGGAACTCCACTACAATACAGTATGCAAGTCTCTTTTGCCAAACCTGCATCTGCATTAACATCTACCTGGAAGTAAATGTGTAAGGAAAGGACCAGACAGCTACCTTACAAACTGCAACAACAGAAGCACGATGCTGAATAGCCCAGGAAAGAATGGGTCCTAAGTGAGAAAGGAGGAATTTTGCCCTTGATACAATAGGTTTAAGAAATAAATTGGCAAATCCACCTAGAAATAGTGGATTGAGAAGAAGCCACTTGTGAGGACCCTCAGGAAGAACAGCAAGATTGTTGAAATGACACTGTAGGCCTCAGATAAACTAGAACAGTTTGAACAACCTCTGAAGAGTGAAGAATCTTCTCCTTAGAATATTTAGGATTAGGACAAAACGATGGCATCACAATGTTCTGATACAGTTAAAAACTAGGCAACCAAAAAGACAACCTTGCATGCAAGGAGTGACAAGGGAATCTTATGAAGAGGCTCAAAAGGAGAGGTCTACATAACAGACAATATTAAAATAAGATCCCATGGAGAAAAGGGGACAGCGCAGGTGGACAATTTCATGTGACACTCTGTACAAAGGTCTTTTCCAAGGAAAAAGACATACTGTTAGGAGATGAAAAGTAAAAGCCTCACTGCAGGTGGAAGAAGTTTTGTATATACAATGGTACACCTTCCCAGAGATACAATTTCTAGCCTTGAGAAGAGTAAGGATTAGAAACATCCCTATCCCTCAACACTTGGGATTAAACAGCCATGCCATCAAAGCAAGCAACCATAGGGACCTGTTCACACCACTTAGGGTGCTTCAGATATGCGCAGGTGGTATTAATTGTTAATGGCACCCCCAAGGCATCTAGGAAACACATGCATATTTGTGGCCACCAAAACTCATGGTACTGAAGTACCATGTAATTTGGTGAAGAGCAATTTAAAAAGTTGCATCTGAGTACTTTTTGGCATTCCCATGGGTTTGGCAACCACTGAAAAAAATGTGAAGTTCTGCCCAAAATAAGATGAGGCTCTTCTACAGAGGATTCCCAATTCTCAACACCTTCTTCCTTCTTATCCTAAGACTATTCCTCCAATACCTCTTCCCCCTGAAAAAGGGGCAGAGGGGAAGGAGAGTACCCGCACGTGCGTCACAGGCATTCCTTCCTAGTCAGGACCCCACAGAGCCAATCACACCAACCAGAAATGCTGAAAATTCCTCCCTTGACATAAAAAGATATAGAGAATTTGCTCCTCTGGGCATAAAAACACATGCAATGGGCCGTTTCTGGTTTCTGAAGGTGGCCCCTGAAACAGTTGAAATTCTGGGGCAAGGAATTAGAGCTAATCTGACTCTTAGAGGAGCTATTACAGGATGAACTGTGCAGAGGATCTTCCCTGACAGATGGACTTGGAAGCCCTCCTACACACATACCTATCTGCCTACATATTGGCTTGTGCATACATAGCTTGCAAAGGGTCAGCAGAGAGTGATGTGGCTTGTGCAAAGGCTGTGGCAAAATATTGCTGGAATTGTGCTGGGGCTGTGTAGTGCTGTACCTGCCCATTGCAAAATTGTGCTGGGGCTGTGTAGTGCTGTACCTGCCCATTGCATGTGTTTTCATGCCCAGAGGAGCAAAAAACTGTGCCTGCACAGACATGCATAATGACATTGCTACACCTGATCCACCCTCTTTGAACACTGCTACAATGGAGTGCTGCTTCAGTCCTGCATACTAACCAACTTAAGTCTAGTTAAAAACTAGGGCTTAGTTAAGAAGCCAGGGTTATGCCTTTTTTTTTTTTTTTTTTTTTTTTTTTTTTTTAATAAGAGTGTCCATTCACCTGAAGGTGGCAGCATAGACCAAGTAGACATGAAAATGAAGTACCCTGTGTCCTGTGATGTACGATTAAAAAAAAGCACTATAGACTGTACTGTTAGTTTGGAACAACTGTTAAGCCTATACATGAAATGTACATGTGATAAACAACATATGTACATATGAATGTGTGAAAGAACTTTTGACGGCATTTGTAGCAATCATGTAGTAATGCAGATGGGCCACTTAGAATGCCAATACTGCCCACAAACATCCGAGAATGATTACATGTACAGGTCAATCAAACCATTTCAGGAAGCCTGCAGGTATTGCTTCTGTCCTAAACAGGAAGGTTCAGGTCACTCAGGTGTTCATGCAGACAGTCTCTACACTACTTTATACCAGACAGAACAGAAACAATCAGATTTTCTTATGAAACTATAATGGTTTGGGGTCAATTTTGTGTGTTTAACACAATACACTTTGCAACTTATGATTTGTATCTATAGGTATACAACATGACAAAGGACGTCTAGTGCATGATGTGTTATCTAAGGGGAAAGCATTGTGGTTAGTTGTGTCTGAAAGAAACTACAGATCCACCTGCTGGCAGTGGTATAGGAACAGTCCAACCATACTCAGAGCAAGTTCATGCAGGAGTGATCTGGGTGAAAACGGTCAGATAAAAAAGGGTCAGATAAGGGGACTGAGTTATATACAGTTAGGTCCATATATATTTGGGCACAGGCACAATTTTAGATTTTTTTCAGGTATTTACTAAAACATATTCGAGCTATAGTTATATAATAGATATGGGCTGAAGGTACACACTCTTGGGTTTAATTTGAGGGTATGTACATCGAAATTGGAGGAAGGGTTTAGGAATTACAGCTCTTAAGAGTAGCCATCCCCCCTTTTTCAAGGGACCAAAAGTAATTGGACAATTGAATCAAAAGCGGTTTCATGGCCAGGTGTGGGCTAGTCCGTTATTTCTTCATCAGTTAAGCAGGTAAAAGGTCTGGAGTTGATTCTAAGTGTGGTATTTGCATTTGGAATCTATTGCTGTGAATCTACATCATGTGTTCAAAGGAGCTGTCCATGCAAGTGAAACAGGCCATTGTAAGGCTTCAAAAACAAAGCAAATCCATCAGAGAGATGGTATATAGCATGAATATGTTTTGGTAAATACCTGACAAAAACTAAAATTGTGTCTGTGTCCAAATATATATGTACCTAACTGTATACTCCATCACTCCATCAAGGGCAGGATTTATTATCTCAGACAGCATCTGAATCCCCCCCCTTTTCAACCAGGTAGAGATGTTAACATTCCAGACAGACAAACAAGGGACAAGCCAGCAACCGACAAGAAAAATGGGCAACAAGACACATGATAATTAATTTATTTTCTAGGTGACAGAGTCTAAGGAAGTAAGCTTTATGTTAACCTGATATTCATATTGTTCAAATGAATCAATATTTCCAAGACACCCCATAGGCTGTGCCCCTGAATAATTTTCAGCCCTATTCTTCCTATTTCTCAGTGGTCCCATGAGCAGACGCCCCTATCCCCTGGTCTATATTCTGATCCCACTCTGTCTTTTCCTTCTTCCCCACTCCATCTTCACCTCTTCCCTGCTGTCTCTCTTTCCCTTTTCACCGAATGCACTCTTTATACCCTACATTTTTCAAAATCAATGAACATACTTAAGCTGGCCATACACTGATTGAATTTCATCCAGTTCCTGGAATTGAAATTTGTTCTGTGGATGGCCCTGTCAGCACCATAATCAAAAAACTGACTCTTGTAAAAGAAGCAAAAGCAAAGAAGCAAGGCAAAAAATTCTCAGCCAGACAATGCCTGCATTCAATCAGATGTAGGCACTGTTTAAGGTATTCAAACAGCCCGGGTGCTGGCTGTCAGAATACAATAGCCAGCACTGCACAATCAAGTAAATTGTGGTGCTCAACAAAAGAAATCTGATTGTGTATGGCCAGCTTTAGTTCTCTGCAGTAGTCAGATTTCATGAAACTTTCTGAATGGGCCGTAATGCATACCAATGTGTAACAATCACTATGAATCCAAAAACTATTCATCCTATATTATAACCCATTTATCAACACACACACACACACACCTTTGATTTTGTAAAACAGGGCAGTTTCAACTTGATTCATTATTACATTGTTTCTACATATCATCTAGCAAAATGTGAACATACTTAGTGGCACATGGGAAATTTCAAAAGCCAGTACAGGCCTAATGGAACTCAAAAAGTACTGGGAATTAAGAATTGATTATGTTGAGGCATTGGCCTAAAGTACCAACTTAGCCAGAAATCAAGAGTTTCAAGGGGAACTAAAAATCTATGTGAAAAAGATGTACATATTTTACATATTAATCACCGATTGAGAACCATTTAACTAAATTAAATCCCATTTCCACAAAACATATGACAAAGACCGGTAATGGTGCACCAACCCTGCAGTCACACAATATCATGACCGTCTATTCACCCAGCTATGCACAGCCTTCTCCTCTAACACCTGGCTGGTAATTTCCAGGACACAGAACACCATCTGACGAAAGCCCGGAATATAAATGTAACCCCGCTGACATTTTTTAAGATAATCACAGTTTTATCAATATTTGCCTATACAAAAACGGCGAGCAAGAAAAGAAAAAGTTGTGCTTACTGCAACCTCTTATTACATGCAAAGTAAAGAATTTGATTCTATGGGCATTACTACATCATTTGACACATGTGGAAATGTGATGAGAAGTGTCTGCACACGGGTATGCAACATAACAAGCGACAGCTCACTGCAGGTATATCATATACTGTATACAAGAATTCTCTAAAATTAGAGAACTCTTTATGCTTGGGAACATGCTGTTCCCAAGCATAAAGAATAAAGTCATCTATATATTATATTACATTTTACATCCTTACCTTTTTAAACATTGCTAGCGATATTACTGCAGAAGCTGTGAATAGGGCAGCAATTATAATCATCATTATCCCCACTGGTATATTCATGTTCAGTGCAGTTAGTGCAGAAATCCAGCCACTGAAAGAAATGGTTCAGCAATAAGTACCATCATTCCAGACCAATACTTTGTGGATACTACATCATGTTTGAAAACGACCACTATAATAAAAAGCTGGTTTATGTTAGAATTTTTAATAACATTTGCAGAAATTTTAGGGAAATTACACCAATAAAAATGATCATACTCACAGTTTTATTTCTATTTGAAAGACCAATTAAATTCTTTTACTATATTTAAACCTGACAAAAATGACAACTGAATTCTGTTCATCTAATTACCAGCAGTATTATGAATAAATAACGTGTTTATCTGCTGTAGCTGAAAATTCCTCTAAGAGTGCCATAAAATTTTAATATTAACATACTCCACCTAAAATATTCAAATTTGTATAGAAAAATAAACAGTTAAAACCCCTTTTATAGTTGTCTGTGTCTCCAATGGTGAGATTTACCTTCTCTAATTGTTCAAGTGACCTTTTTCACTGGGAAAGATAGTGATAGGGAATCTAACATTTTACAGTTGTCAGTGGAACAAGAGGAAAGGGAAACTTGCTCCAGTGACTATGCCTCTTCTGTCACAAAGGATTTTCACATTCCTATTTGCAAACTTTTTATTGCACACTGTGCCGGGATGAATTAACTGCCACGCTCATGCACACCTACACCTACTCTGCCTAGCCAATTAAGATGACTGAAGATCCAAAACCCAGAAGAGGCCACCAAGTTTGATTGCTTTTGATGCCACTCAAAGTGGAGGTGAATGCATATCCCAGTGTCCCAGAACATGGGGTGCAGGCTTGTCCCAATACCAAACCAGGGGGGGCTAGTAAATGTAAAGAGGAAAGGATCACCACTACAACGAACCATCCCAGGAGGATAAACAATAAACAGCGGCTTTACCCTACATGTCTCCACTAAACCCCACACACTCTGGCGCATTTTGCCCTGTCCACCGGAGCTTACTGTGTGGTTTAGTAGAGATATCTAGGTTGAGGCCGCCCTTTATCGTTTATAGTCACCTGGGCTAGTCAGGAGTAGCGACGATCCTTTCCACTTTACATTTGCCAGCAAGATGGATGTTGATGCATGTGAGGGAGAGCACAAACATAGCATTGCTGGAGTGGAGGTGTGCATAGCTCCACTTTAAACCCCAACTCCAGGAATTTTTAAAAATCCGCTTGTGCAGTGGGGCCACTTCTTGTGTCAAGGGGTTAAAATACAGGCTGTAGTACTTACCTTACAGTCATACTCTGGCTGGCTCGGGTGCTTTCCTCTTCTGCCTGAATCTTTTGTCTGTTGACCCTGCATAGTATGTTGTGGAGGCTGGAGTGAAGTGAGAGCTGCGGGGGACCACTCCAGTGCTTAAAGGACCATGCTGGACCTCTGCAACTCTAGACATAATAAACATTTAACCCTAGCAGCCTGGAGAGGCACCACTGCAGGGATAGATTTTCTTAAAATTCCTGGAGTTAGGATTTAGCTTATACTATGATTAAGAACGCCATGAGCAGTGTTAACAGTAAATCTCCTGCACTCTGACAGGTACATAGGTTCTGTATCACTTAGTGAACAGAGTAAGAAGGTACAGAACCGCTCACAGAATCTGAAGGGAAAGAAAAATGAAGGTGTTAAACAAAGCAAATTCCATGCTGTATCTGATGTTAAAGGGCATCTAAACCCAAAAACTAGAATTATAATATTAGACCTTACCATTTCCTAGATGCGATGGCTACACTAGTTTTTCTTTTTAGACTTTTTTAGGTCATTTTCATCTGGCCGGCAAGTCTGTTCATTCTTAAATTCCTTTAACAGACAAAGCTGTCCAATAGAATTGGCAGTTAGGGGGTGGATATCATTTAACACTGACAGGGTTCTCCAAATGATCAGCTTTTATTTATGTAAAATCTTTATCCTAAAAAGAAAAAAACGGTTTGCTCTAACTGCTTAAAAAGTGTTATCTGGAGTTCAGCTTTAATTTGTTACTCAAGTCCATCTAAATCTGCTAGTACGTCTAATACTATTCTCTCCCCAGACTGAAAATGCTGCTATCCAAAAGGTGTCTGTGTTGCTCCTCCATCCACAACTGAAACACTCTTAGATGGGAAGTGTGTTACTGGGCGGATTACCATGTAAAATAAAGGATAAAAGAAGAAAGCTTCAGTGGGAGTGTGACTTGGGGACGATCGTTAATCTGGAGTTCTGGAATAAGGCCTGGTCATTTGAAGATAAATGTTCATTTAATACAGCCATGCTGGAGGCTGCATACAAAGTACTGTTTCGCTGGTATTGGGACTCGGCTCGTATAGCCCAGGCGAACCCTGCCTACAGTGATCACTGCTTTCAGAGTTGCAGCCATTGTGGAGATGTGTTGCATATATGGTGGTCATGTCCGAGACTGCTTCATTTTTGGTCTTGTGTCTTTGGCCTTCTTTACACCTTGTTCCATCTCTCCATACACCGAGAGGCTCGGTATGCTTTGCTTCATTGTCCCATACCAGACCTGTTGGCTCATCAGCAGAAGTTGGCTTCTTATCTGTTTCTGTCGGCCACTAGAACAATTGCCCAGGCATGGAAGAGCCCGTCTGTCCCTCTTCAGGGGGTGCGAGACTGTATGACCACTCTGATGATCAACGAACAGATGTCAAGTATCCATAATGACACCCAATGAAAATTCTTACGAAAATATGGGAGCCATGGTTAACATATGCTTTTCCCACACTCCCCCTGGCTAGTCTGGGTTTATGATACTATATGGTAAATGCGTTCCCGGATCCATGCTTCTGGTCTTGTTTTCTTCTTCCTTCTTTATTCTTTTTTGTTTGATTGCGCGAGGCGACAGATATTTGCCTTTGGCTGGAAATTTGTGTTGGTATTATATCACCATTTCTGTATTTTATGTGCTGTTGATAGCCCCTACGTGGGTGCACCTCTTGCATTGTTGGAGTTACAATACTGATTTCTTTGTTTTTCATGTACCATTGATACCCCCCTGCTTGGGCGTGTCTTTTGCACTAATCTTTCTTGTTAAATTGTTTACAAAAGTTAATAAAAATCATTGAAATACAAAAAAAAAGAAAAGCCTGAAAAAAAAGAAAACTAAAAGCAGCCATCTCATCTAAGCACTGGTAAGCTGCTGTACATTACATTTTTGTTTCTGGGTTTAGATACACATTCCTCTACTGCCAGTGAAACTATGAAAGGGCTTCCTCATTAATACTCAAACTCAAAAGCCTCCAGTTAAAGTGTAAAATTCTTATAAGAGTAACTTTTACACATTAACTAATATGTAACAATTTGTTAAGTAAAACTTCACATTTTGTATTTTCAACAGACTTGCAATAAAGCATATGCACGTTACATTTCCAACTGCTTCTTCAGAAATCCACCCCAGTGCAGTGCAATGTCATGTTTGGTAGCAAAACAGCTGTAAGCATTCCGGATGTGAGAACAAATTTAAATTTGGACTTTTATCTCAAAATTCACCTTCATAATCATCCATAAAATATTTTACTTCCATACGTTACCTGCACCTTCTACAGAAATTCACATGCACAAAGACCTCAGAACAAGGGGGTAGGGTGGCTGTATGTTATACAGGCCAGTATCAAGATAGTTTGCAAGCCTCAAGACTTCTAGATATTGGGCAGCACCCTGTATAGCTTGTGAGTGAAGTCAGAGGGGCAAAACCTTCTCATTTTTATAGAAACTGAAGACAACACAATCATCTATTACTGATAATTTTAATAGAGTATCAGCTCTGGGCATTCACTTCTTACTCCTGCAGTCACTGTGTCCATAAGAAAAGGGGAATGATATAACGAAAGTTAAAGTAGACCTGTCTTGAGAGACATAGAAGTGCTGCCTTGGCTGATCACCATTTTGAAATGCAAGTTGCCTGGCTGTCATGATGGCACACCAGATTCCATGCATTCTGTCACTGTCCAAAAGTCTGAATCACTTCAACATACTGAAACAAGAGCTCAGCAAGAAAACACTGCAGCTAGATGTAAAAGAAGAGTGTGGCAATGGCAGCATCCATGTTTCTTGCTTGGCAGGTTTCTACTAAGTTCACTTGTGGTAAATGAACACATGGAAATTTCACATAGCATTACATTTCATTTCTTTTGATATGGCTACAGAATCATGTGCTGATTTAGATGCAAGTCTCAGGAGATAATTAGAAGCATTCCATCTCTCGGTATTCTAATTTTCCAGACCCAGGAACCATGCCCAATCAAATGACTTACCAGTTACCCCAGCCTTTAAATCCAGCAGCTTGAAGGACATGCACAGCAAACTGACAGATATACACAAAGAAGAACACAAAGAACCTGAAAGAACTGTCACTCCTGCAGAGAAACAAAGAATAGGATATTAGAATATATTCAGATGGGGGTGGGGGGGGGGGGGAATTTAACACACATCTATAAAGGAACACTTGGACTTAAAGCCACAAATTGCAAATAAAGATAACTCGTTGTTTAACATTTATAGAGAATTCAATAGTGACATGTAATTAAAGTGGGCCTACCATTAAAAACAGGGGGTCTGCTTTTTTTCCAGCCCGCCTGCACCCTTCAACACAATTGGCTTTAAAAAGCAATTTGTAAATGGGCCAATAACCCCTCCCCTCAAAAAAAAATTTAAAAAAAATGCACCCTTCAACACAAATAGCTTTTGTAATAGGGGAAATCATCTGGAGTTAGAACTTTTCTTCATTTCCTGTCCTGAAGTCTCCTCAAAATAAATCCCCTTGGTGACAGGGCTCACCAAAATAAGTTTCAACTTAGAGCGGTTCTAAACGCTCATGTTTTCTTACCTGCATGCATTGTATGCATGAAGGTAAAAAACGTTTAGTGTGCAGCGGCCCACCCCAGCCCACCTAATATTCACCTGAGCCCGATCTCGGTCCAGCGATGAGCACAGGAGATTTGACTTTGAGTCTTTTCCTCCTCATTGGCTCCCGCTGCTGTCAATCACAGCCTGTGAGGAGGGAGCCGGGTCGAATCCCATTCTGCTGTGTCTTATGGACACAGAGAGCAGGAATCAGAGACAAGCACGTACCAGTGCCCCCCGCTTGCTACTAGGGCACTGCTCAGGTGGGAGGAGACAATGTCCAGCGGGTCAGATGAGAGGAGGAGGCTCGGGGCTGCTCTGTGCCAACTCACTGCACAGAGCAGGTAAGTATAACATGTTTGTGATTTAAAACAAAAACACAAGGGTTTAGTATCAATTTAAGCTGTCCATAATTATATGAAGTGATCCAGTGCATGAAGTGATGTACCTGCTTCCCAAATCAATTATACACTATAATAGGGATGCTGGAAAATTTTCTCGCTCAGTGGCTGCAGCCACTGATCAGTGTATTCTGACAGCTTAGAGTTCCCACTGTCAGAATACAATGTCTCAGCCTGGAGGATTCCTTTATCCACCTCTTTTGTGTGGATGAAGGAATCCATTTGTTGCTGAACAAGAAAAATAAAAACATGTGAAAGTTGTGCTAACCTGTCCTAAATAGACTAGAAAGGTTATGGCTGGACTCTCACTTGCAGTATTACCAATGAAATACAATGCTTCCTCAGAGAACCATTCATATTAATAAAAAGTACTTCAGTGATGAAATTCACCTGCAGGTGTCAATACCAGTAAATCAGCCCAAAGTTCAGGTAAAGCCCGGTAGTAGGTTCAGTTTCCATAGGATGTACAGTACCTTTCTACCCCATGTGTGGCGATTACTAAACAAATGGAAAAATGTACACAAAGCACCGACATTGGTTGTGAGACTACCTCCTCTAATAAAATGGTCTCTCTGTAGGCTTCTATAAGCAATTTTTTCCAAATTTTTAACCAATTTTAATAAAGGTCTTCCAGTGATATATTCTGAGGTTAAATAATAAGATCCACAGTCTGATTTTACTGCTTTGCCACTGTGCAGGCTTACCAATGAATGATTTATACAGTGGGGAAAATAATTATTTGATCCCCTGTAGATTTTGTAAATTTGCCCACTTACAAAGAAATGAAGGGTCTATAATATTTATCATAGGTATATTTTAAATGAAGACAGAATATCATGCAAAAATCCAGAAAAAATACATAATACAAATGTTATAATTTGAAGTGAAGTTCAGTGAGTAAAATAAGTATTTGATTCTCTACCAACAATAATTCTGGCTCCCACAGACTGGTACACAGATTAGTCCTGTCAAATTAAGAAGGTGCTCCTAAAGACAACTTGTTGCCTGTATAAATGACATCGGTCTACAAAATCGCTTTCTTGGGCACCACCATGGACAAGACCAAAGAGCTGTCAAAGTACATCAGGGACAAGATTACAGACCTGCACAATGCTTGAACGGGCTACAAGACCATCACCAAGAAGCTTGGTGAGGAGACAGCTGTTGAAGCGGTTATTCGCAAATGGAAAAAATACAAAAGAACCATCTATTGCTCTCGGTTTGGAGCTCCATGCAAGATTTCGCCTCATGGGGCATGGATGATCATGAGAAAAGTGAGGGATCAGCCATGAACTACACAGGAGGAGCTTGTAAATGATCTCAAGGCAGTTGGGACCACAGTCGCCAAACAAGCCATTGGTAAAACAATATGCCACGATGGATTGAAATCCTGCAGTGCCTGCAAGGTCCCCATCCTCAAGAAGGCACATGTTTAGGCCGTCTAAAGTTTGCCAATTAACATCTAAATGATTTAGAGAATCATTTTGTGAGAAAGTGCTGTGGTCAGATGAGACCAAAATTGAGCTCTGTGGCATTAACTCGACTAACCGTGTTTGGAGGAAGAAAAATGCTGACTATGACCCTAAGAACACCATTCCTACAGTCAAGCACAAAAGTTGAAACATTATGCTTTGAGGATGTTTCTCTGCTAAAAGGTACAGGCTGGCTTTGCCACATTGCAGGACCAATGGACGGAGCCATGTATTGGAAAATCTTGGACGAGAACCTTCTTCCTTCAGCCAAAACACCGAAGATGGGCCTCCCACCATGACAATGACCCAAAACATACCGCTATGGCAACAAAGGAGTGGCTTATTAAGGTCTTGGAGCAGCTTAGCCAGTCTCCAGACCTTAATCCCAAAGAAAATTTATGGAGGGAGCTGAAACTTCAAGCTGTCAAGTGACAGGCAAGAAACTTTAAGGATTCAGAGAAGATCTGTAAAGAAGAGTGGACCAAAATCCCTCCTGAGATGTGTGCAACCAACTACACTGGGAACCAACTACAAAAAACATCTTACCTCTGTGCTTTGTGTCGTGTTTTGCTTGGGGATCAAATAATTCTTTTACTCTCTGAATTGCAACTCAATTTATAACATTTGTATATGTTTTTTCAGAATTTTTGCAAGATAATCTGTCTCTAATTTTTATCATAGATGTATTTTAAATGATATAGACCCTTAATTTCTTTGTAAGTGGGCAAACATACAAAATCTGCGGGGGATCAAATAATTATTTTCCCCACTGTATTTAGTTTTAACCACATTGTCTGAGGCAGACTCTTGGGCTACAAAGACAGAGCTGACAGCTGCTGTACTGTTAACTGCTTGACTTTATTGCTGACAAAACTGCCTAAAACCTCTTGGGTGGGACAGTAACAAACAAAGCCTCACAGTTGTTCATATTGCTGTTAGGGCTGGTTCACACCATGCCCGCTCAGGAACACACAGTGCGTTCCTTTGTGTTTCAGACCACATGTAAAATGCGCTTCTTTTGCAATCTGCAGCGGGTTTTACTACAAAGTTAAAGACACTTCAAATGCAGGTCACAAACACAGCGTGTTTCCCCACAACTGTCCTCACTGGATCACATGGTATTTTTGTACAGTGTGTTTTAAAATGCACTACTTCCAGTGCGGTGTGATTTTAGCACATTCTAAATTAATGGGCTGAAATGGCACCACACAGAACTGCATAGGAATGCACAGCGCATTCCTGTGCATCTCATGTACGGGCATGGTGTGAACTGGCCCTTAAAGTGTAAATCCAGTCAAAACCTAAATCTGCTCCCACTCTCACCCCTATACTATCAACCTTGTAAAAGTAAACATACTTCTATTTACCTATCTAAGGGCACTCTAGCACAATCACGTAATCAGCTCTCAGCGCTGGTTTCAAGGGAGGAGAGGAACAGCAGACAACGGATGTCTCATAGTAAATGTATAAGTGGTGTTACTGTGCTCTGCAGCTGTAGTCACTGCTCTCTCCTCTCCCCTGAAGATGGCTGCTAGGCATATCACATGACAGGACCAGTGCACGCTTACAATAGGTAAGTATATGGATCATTCCTTTACAGGGTAGTCAGTACAGAGCTTAGAATGGGGGTGGGAGCAGGTTTTAATTTAGTTAGCTTTTGACCGGATTTCCACTTTAAGCTGAAATGTAAACTTTTGCCTTCCCTGGTTCTCATCATATACCTTATTTGAATCCCAATAATGTAATCACTAGATGTCTGTGCTTTTTTATCTAATGCAAGCAAATCATGGCTGGTGGGAGGGGCCAGCAGGGTGCCATACATAGATTCCTGAAAACATCACATACACCTTGCCTTAGTATTCCTCTCTAGAGCTCTCAGCCCTGATGCAAACAGTGGGGTGACTCTTGGGACAAGATATTTAAAAACGCCTCAATGGGTGGATATCAGTTTAGAGGAGTGGGTGTTCCTAGGCAAACTGTCCTTGGGAGCACCCACATGTGATGAGGAGTCTCCATGATTGAAAAATGAAAAACAATGAATGAAAGGGCGGCTTAAGAGTGTCATCCTGAGGAAGAAAGGACTAGATGATACTGGAAATCCTCCAGCCTAAAAAGGAGGTGGGCTCTATTTGACAACTGTGCAAGACTGAAGCTTTAACTGTAATGCTGTGTTATCTTACAATTCTACAATTTGATGCTACTATTAAAAATAAAGCACAATCAGACAAACATGATATGAATCAGGATTTATTGTGGCAAATCAATAGCCCAGATCCGTCACACCCTGAACTGATCCCATTGACAATTTTGTAGACTATTCCTTTATACATTCTTTACTTTATCCAAGTCACCATGTGTAAAATGTGTTTTCGTTTACCAGAAGGTACATTGTCTCATCCGCCAGACAATATGTACAGTATTGAGAAGCTTCAAGTTGTAAGGATATCATTAAAACACCCCATTTATGGAAACTATCAAAATGGGAAAACGAGCCTTCAAGTAGGCAGTTTCCATATGGGCTTAGAGTACTGTTGAAAAGGCTCTTTGTTTTTTACCTTAACCATTTTGCATGTCAGCTACTCAATTTTAAAACAAACCCTCTTGCCGCCTCCTCCTTTTCATAGGAAGAGCAAATATTTAACTTGCTATAGCTGGTACACAGTGGTCAGACATGCAGCCATCTTAGTCCAGCGACTATTCTTCTTGAATCATATGCAGCAGGATAGGAATGAATGCTGTAGGAAACTCGGATGCTGACTTATCAGAGGTAAAACAATGCAGATTAGATGCATTTTCTAACCACCTCTAAATGGGCACCTTTAACCCTTTCATTGCCAACACTGCTTCCAGCTAGCCAGGTCTGTCAGCTGTACAGACCTGACATTGCTCCTTCTGCTATAAGCTCATGGTCACTTCAGTAACCATGAACAATAACATAACTGTTCGTCAGACACTTCTCAACAAAATAGCTCTGATCAGCAGATGACAATCCACTGATCAGAGCTATTAACCTAAAATGTCTCTATACAGATTCCTATTCAGTCATGGACTGCACAGCTGAAGCTCCTTTGTAGTGTACTGTGCAGCTCCAGTCCCTTTCTCTGTTTTACAAAAGAGGCTTCAGGGGTCTCCCGTGCAGCTGCTGCATCCAAATCAACATGCATGGGACTGCCTGCATGGGGATGCATGGAACACATGGGCATGCATGGAACACATGGGCATCCCCATGTGGGTAAACAACCCTCCAAGGGCATACACTTTAGTACTCCCATGTGTATGAGGCCTTAGTAGAAATTTGGCAAGAATTTTGTAAGTTATGTTGTGTTTGTGTCCACCAATAATGGTGTTAGTGTATTTTTAGTGAAAATAGCGAATTGATAAATATTTGCGCAACGATTGCTGGGCCTAGAAAATCCTAGCACCCTTTTTTTTTTTTATTTTAGAGGTCGTGAGCTTTCAGAAAATATATGGTTTGGGTGGTCTTTTACAAACTCTAAAGCTGTAAGTGAAAAATGATTACCTCTAGGAATTTTTGCGTAAATTGTTTTTAATTTACAGTCTCGTGCACTCGTGCACCTTCAGTTTTCACAATTTCATAAAAAGGTGCAATTTAAAATTTACAAATATTTGTTATTTATTATCACATCGTTTTAGCTTATATATTTAGTAGGAATTTAGCAGAAATTCTGTAAGGTTTGCCATGTATTTATCCGATAATGATTTTAGCATATTTTTTAGCGAAAAAATTGTGATTTGATGAACATTTACGCAACTAGTGCAGGGATTAAAAAATCAGTAGTACATTTATTCTGCAGGTCACGTGCTTTCAGAAAATCGATGGCTAAGGGAGTTTAACAAACTCTGAAAGCTGTAAGGGAAAAATAAAAAACAGCATAAATGGTCTAGCCACACGAGTTTAAAAGTGGAGCACAGGGCCTGGCAGTGAAGGGGTTAAAAGAGTACCTGTCATAAGATAAACATAGAGTTTGCCATTGCTGACCTCTGCTTCTGAAAGTGCTACCTGCCTGGCTGTCATTCCAACCATTTTGCTTTGGTTTCCTGAGTCATTGACTCAAAAAAAGTATGCAGAAAAAACACCTCCACCTGACTTTTCTGATCTACATGCTTGTTCTGAATACTTGACTCCAAGTATTGTACACAAGAAATCAGAATAACGGCCAAGCAACCAACATTTTCTGTAAAAGGTAAGCAGTGGCAGCTTCCAATTTTCTCTCACAATTAGCTGACTTTAAGCAGCTTGGGGCCAAACTGTTCCAACAAATTTGAACATTAGGGGCAGCACAGTGGCTAAATGGTTAGCACTTATGCCTGGCAGCACTAGGATCACTGGTTCGAATTCCAACCACTGCACTGCCTGCATGGAGATTTCATGTTCTCCCTATACCTGCATGGGTTTCCTCCCACACTCAGGTTAAATGGGTCCGGTCTAAATTGCCCCTAGTATGTGAGTTAGGGACCATAGATCATACGCTCCTTGAGGGTTAGGGACTTATGTGAATGTACAATATATATGTACACAGCTGCGTAAATTGACAGTGCTATACAAGTACCTGTAAGAAACATTCCCTTTCACCATGTTTATTGGCAGCACAAAAAAACCCCCCACTGCAAAGTTCTTTTTGCATAATAGGAGGTGTTCAGGTAAGACATGCAGAGGAGGTGGTAGTGCTACACACAAGCCCTCATTCTGTTATCAAAATGTGCCTGACACTTAGAGGCCTGTGAAATTGTTAACTGTTCTATTTTAAGGTTATAAAGCCAGTTTAAAAGAAATAGCTTTTGTTTTGGTAAAGGTAAATTGAGGTTTTATGTAAAGTTCCCTAAGATGACTGCAGTCCTCATTGTTATGTCAAAATTCTAGCTGTTCTATCAAGCAAAACTCCCCCATATCTATTGTCAATCAGGCTGGCCCCCCACTTGCTTTTGATGGGCCTTCACTGGCCAATAGGAAAGTGCATAAGGCAGGATGGGGTGAGTGAGCAAAGTTTTACTTGGGGTTTGATTGAAGAAGAAAAAACTGCAGGCAGTTCTCTCCCATAAAGTGTGTGTCTGCAGCAGCTGAGCTCTTTTTATTCAACATTTTGCAGAAAAACATCAGGGAGAACACCACCATCTGCCACTGTACTGTAGTTTTTGCAGCAGTTGAGCAGAACAGAGTACTCTAGAGGGTTTATTTCACCACTGAAGACGCAATAATATAACAATATATTCAACCTGCCAGTAACTTTGAACATTTACAAAGACCTTCAGAAAATGAATGGCTTTAAAAAACAAGTGCTAAGAAATTTGCCTCACAATATCTTAAAATGTTTACTGTACCTGAATGCTCCATAAAGTGGTCTGTACCAGCAAACAAATGAGCAAGGAGTGAAAAGCAAAAACCACAGGATCGCCAACCCAAAGTCAACCCCTCGGCTTGTATCAACGCAGAACCAGGCCAGGCAACCGAAAATATTTACAAAAAGAGTGACTGTATGAACTGTAAAAAAAAAAAAAAAAAAAAAATGAGAGAGAAAAATCAAACTGACTGTGCTGGGAGTCAGACCAGCATGTGAGAAGCATTACAACACTAAACAAAGCAATTGTAATATATAAACCCAAAATACTAAAGCCGGGTATTAGGCCTTAATGTAAAAACCCCAAATACCAACGTCAGCCTTTAAGCAAGGATTGTAGTGATTCATTTACAGTGATATATCTGAAACATCCTGAGCTTTGTCGTTGTCTCAGCATGCATATAAAAATGTTGTTATGGAATTATGCTAGAGGGGACCACAGGACAGAGAACTCCAGATACATATTAAAAACACCCTTTCCAACAGTTTATATTTCTAATGAAAATATTGTAAAATGTACTTTAAAATTCTGTTAGTAAAATTTTCAAAATCACTATTTATAGTCTTTTTCCACAGTTGCCAGAACTAAGAGGGGTAATATTATGCATTGTGAGCCAATCAGGCATAAAGAGTATCTAAACCCAAAAACAACAATGTAAAGCTTACTAGTCTCCTTAGATGTGGTAGCTGAATTCATTTTCACTTTTTAGGCTAATAATATTTTCAGCAAATTAAGAAAATATGTGTTGAAATGGCAAAAATTGAGTGTCTATATCTCTATTATGTAAGCCAGTGTTTCCCAACCTTTTTCCAGTCAGGGCGTCCTTGAAAAGTATTTTCAGTCTCGAGCCACCCCACTCTGAAGCCTGGTTCACATTACTACTGCGTGTCAGGGAACGAACACGTTTTTCCCACCCCCAACTGCTCCCCCTTTAGCTTAGTGGCAACAGCCAGGGACATACAAATGCTTAAAACCTGCAATACTCTACCTGCACTGCCAGATACTGCCCTCTAATGGGAGGTGGAGAGCTCAGGACTCCGACTACCCCTTCCATGGCTTTCACCCATGACAACCTCGAGGGGCACCCCACTGTGCCGCAGCACCCCAGGTGAGAAAGGTTGGTGTAAGCTATTCAATATACCTTGTAATGGAGAAGAATAAAAGGCAAATATGTCTGAAGTCCAGCCAGTACAAGCATGGCCTTTTCCATATATACAGCCCTGGCCAAAAGTTTTGAGAATGACAAACATTAATTTTCACAAAGTCTGCTGCCTCAGTTTTTATGATGGCAATTTGCACATACTCCAGAATGTTATGAAAAGTGATCTGATAAATTGCAACTTATTGCTAAGTCCCTTTTTGCCATGAAAATGAACTTAATCTCACAAAAACATTTCTACTGCATTTGAGCCTTGCCACAAAAGGACCAGCTGATATCATGTCAGTGATTCTCTCGTTAACACAGGTGTCAGACTTGAGGAGGACAAGGCTGGGAATCACTCTGTCTGATTGAGTCGGAAAAACAGACGAAGCTTTAAAAGGAGAGTAGTGCTTGAAATCATTGTTCTTCCTCTGTTGACCATGGTTACCTGCAAAGAAACATGTGCAGTCATCATTGCTTTGCACAAAAAGGGATTCACAGGTAAGGATATTGCTGCTACTAAGACTGCACCTAACTCAACAATTTATCCGATCATCAAGAACTTCAAGGAGAGAGATCCAATTGTTGTGAAGAAGGCTTCAGGGAGCCCAAGAAAGTCCATCAAGCGCCAGGACTGTCTTCCAATGTTGATTCAGCTGTGGGATCGCGGCATGGTGTGGATCCTTGGTGTCAAGGAGGGCAGCAAAGAAGCCACTTCTCTCCAGGAGAAACATCAGGGGCAGACTGATATTTTGCAAAAGGTACAAGGATTGGACTACTGAGGTAAAGTAATTTTCTCTGATGAATCCGCTTTCGATTTTTTGAGGCATCTGGAAAAAACCTTGTCCGGAGAAGAAAAGGTGGGCTCCCTCACTATTTTGCCTAAGAACACAGCCACGAATAAAGAATGGTACAAAAACATCCTCCAAGAGCAACTTCTCCGAACCATCTAAGAACAGTTTGGTGATGAACAATGTATTTTCCAGTATGATGGAGCACTTTGCTATCAGTCAAAAGTGATAACTAAGTGGCTTAGGTAACAAAACATTGTACTTTTGGGTCTATGGCCAGGAAACTCCCCAGACCGTAATCCTATTGAGAACTGATCAATCCTCAAGAGGCGAGTGAACAAAAAATATTTCACAAATTCTGACAAACTTCAAGCATTGATTATGCAAAAATGGGCTGGATGTGGCCCAAAAGTTGATTGAAAGCATGCCAGGGCAAATTGCAGAGGTCTTAAAAAGAAGGGTCAACACTGCAAATATTGACTCTTTGCGTAAACCTAATGTAATTGTCAATAAAGGCCTTTGACACTTATGAAATGCTTGCAATTATACTTCAGTATGCCATAGTAACGTCTGACAAAAAGATCTAAAGCACTGAAGCAGCAGACTGTGAAAATTAATATTTGTGTCATTCTCAAAACTTTTGGCCAGGGCTGTGCTATGAATGAAACTGCCCAGGGGCAGAGAGTAAGTTATTTGCAGGATTACCAGGTGAAAATAGAGGGAAAAGCAGCCTGAAAAAAAGACAACTAGTCCAGACACCATGTCTAAGAGCTGGTACGCTGCAATATGTTGCATTTTTGTTTTGGAGTTTAGATATGCTTAATTGTTATGCATTCTAATGGAAATTTAACATGTTATACTGAGAGAAATGAAGGAGTAGGTGTTAAGTCAGCTTCAAGTAGGGAACACAAGGAGAACCACAGTGGTCTCGATAAAACTTACACTGTCCAGTGAGCGAGCAAGAGACATATGATGCTGTTAAAAGGTTCAGGACCAGCACTTGGCTATGCAATATAACAGTTATATGTACATCACAAAAGTGTGTGCATGTGTGAAATTACTCCATGTTCTCTGGTACCGCTCCTTGAATTGTCCAATGTCATACCTTCCTCCACACACTGCCTACTGTGATACTACTCCACATATCTCTCCTGCAAAAAACTAGAAGATGTCATACCTTTCACACTTTTTCTGCATATTCTTCCTGGCCTCATACCTTCCACCACTCCTATCATGCGTCCACTGCTCACTGCCATACCCTCTGCATATACTACATTTGGGATGTATGCACAATATGAAGCGTTTTTGAAGAATCTGTTGTGCTCACAGTGCAATAGTGAATGACATGTTGGTTCCTTTTCACCATCACCTGTCTTGTTATACTTCCATAATTATGGGCCTTAACACATAGGAAAATTATTTTATCTTTAAGCATTTTGCCATCATGAGTTGAACCTACAATTAAGAAATTCTGGCCTCCAGCTTATTTTGCAATGTATAAAAAGCTGACAGTAAGGTGCAGAACGGAGGGCATAGATTTCTTTCCACTTGAGTAAAAAGTGCCAAAGCCCATATGCCTCTATATACAGGAATTCAGGAAACAGTAAAAAGTTTACAGCTCCATTCAGTGCTCTGCTATTCTTTCCCAATACTCCACAAATTCCCATACTGCTGGCTACAATACACCCACCCCCTCCCAAGTGGATTGTACTAGGGGAAAACCATAAATTATTGGACATAATGGACATTACAGACCACGTCTTCCTGCCACACTTACACATCCATAGGTAGTACATAATCTTCACAGTCTTCTGAAATTCCACAGGAATATCCACTGAGAAATCTTGGTAAAAACATGGACCGACTGGGAAGGTTGCAGGAAGTGGCGGCCAATTATTCTTTCTCCCTAAAAGATGAAAATGGTTATTTTATTATAGACAAAAAAATAACCAGCTACTAAATATACAGATAAAGAAGAACTTACATTTTAGGAACATTTTGTAGTCCAGAGATAGGATGAAAACTTTAGTGAGAGCTTTTTTTTTTTTTTTTATTTTCAGGGCATTGCTTAACCACTTGAGTCCCAGGGCCATTTTTTAAATTTTTGTTCATTTTTTTCTTTAAATATTTTAAAAATCATTTGCTGCACATTACGGCTGTTGTGGAAGTGATTGAGTAGCTCCCAGCTGCTCATATTGCTTCAATGTGAAAGCGACAGATGGCTTTACAAATTTACACACTCCTGGCTGGTATAGCAGCAGGAGTAATGTTTAAACAGTGCCTGTTCCCAGTACAACTTTAAAACAGCACTGGGCTTCACGTGGTTAAAAAAAAAATGAAATGGAGCTGGGCTTAAACATAAAAGCCAACCTATAAAGGCCACATTATTTCTTAGTAATAATACAAATGATGTGAGAGTGGCTTCTATGGAAATCAATGCAAAGATGACACAGACTCACTCACCACCAGGTTGGTTTAGGCTCTGGATCTCTCGTTCCCTGCGATCCAGTTCTGCTGCTTTCCTCTCCAACTCCTCCTGTCGCTTCAGGAGTTCAGCTTGCGCCAGAGCATGTTCCTAAGGATAATTAAATACAGGGTTACGCACATATCTTAAATTTTCAGGTTTTGACAGATTTATTTTGGAAAGTTGGTCCAACTGCAAAGAAAAAGGTATACTAACTTTTGCAATTTGAGTATATGCTGGAGGCTCTTCTGTAGGCTTCATTATAGCTGGCTGTGTACTTGGGGCAGCCGCTGGCATTTTTACTTTTTCTGGTGGAGGCTTTAAAAGAAAAAATAAACACTCAAATGTAATATTCAAAGTTAAATGCAACCTCCTGTGCAAATAAAAGACTCAAAATAAGATGTAACCCCTTCCTCTGAATCTGTGAAACCTACATTAAGGATGGGCAGCCTTGTCATAATTCCAATATTTCAACTGCACTACACATGCACCCAACCCTACGCCATACAATACAGTGGAGATGTTGTATACCTCCATACCTACAGAAAAACGGTCTCGCTGCTAAAATCTATGGAGGGGATCAATACATGAGCAGTAACAAAAACTGGCAATTTTCTCAAGTGGGACCTGGTTCTGGTTCAGGCGACAGATATCTGCAGGTCCTTTCACTATATCTGAAAGAATGCAGATATCAAGGGCAGGAGGGTATAATCTTTATGGTGCAAACATGCAATTACCCTTTAAAACGCAGGAGGACTTTTAGCACCAATATCTCTGCACCTACAGTAAGTTCCCAGCACAGCTCATGGGCTACACAAATTAAATAGAGGTCCCAATCTCCAACAAATGCATTATCTACTTAAATGTATCGTATCAGGAGATTGGATGCCTTCAGTACCTGAAAATAGATTGGGGAGGATGGGCTCAGCTCCTATAAAGGGATTCTCTAGTTAAATGTATTGGAAAATTGGATTAAATAGTCTCTGGCAATGGACAGAAGATCTCAACTCCTATAGCTGGATTTTTTATGTATATGTACCAGGAGATTGGCTCTAATAGTGTTTAGCAACAGATTGTTCAGCAGACAGCGCTGACTAATGGAGAAGGCTGGCCGGTTCTGAACTGGAGGAGAAGCCATAGAAGAACCAGTATTTGTAACATTTGAAATGTATTTTGGTGCCTGCACTTCAGTAGTATCACCAATTTGTACACTTACAGTGACATTAAACCCTCAGCTCTTAAGCAGTTTCATCAGCTGATTTAATCACTTACTGAGTATGCAGCGTCTACATCTTTTAACCCTTGCCCACCTTAGCTTTTGCCATAACAGCTGCACCCCAGGTATCCTGGTTTAGAGTGGTTCCTTTCTATTATAGCACCCTATGGAACCACCCTTGAATGCAGAGAACAGAATTTTGTCTCCCAATATTGTGTGCATGAATGGAAACACAGATATACATTATCTCACAATACACCCCTCACATTTTTGTAAATATTTTATTATAACTTTTCATGTGACAAGTAGTGAGTGTACAGCTTGTATAGCAGCGTAAATTTGCTGTCCCCTCAAAATAACTCAACACACAGCCATTACTGTCTAAACCACTGGCAACAAAAGTGAGTCCACCCCTAAGTGACAATGTCCACATCGGGCCCAATTAGCCATTTTCCCTCCCCGATGTCATGTGACTTGTTAGTGTTATAAGGTTTCAGGTGTGAGTGGGGAGCAGGTGTGTTAAATTTAGTGTTATTGCTCTCACTCTCTCATACTGGTCACTGGAAGTTCAACATGGCACCTCATGGCAAAGAACTCTCTGAGGATCTGAAAAAAGGAATCATTGCTCTACATAAAGAAGGCCTAGGCTATAAGAAGATTGCCAAGACCTGAAACTGAGCTGCAGCACGGTGGCCAAGACCATACAGCAGTTTAACAGGACAGGTTCCACTCAGAACAGGCCTCGCCATGGTCGACCAAAGAAGTTGAGTGCACGTGCTCAGTGTCATATCCAGTTTGTCTTTGGGAAATAGACATATGAGTGCTGCCAGCATTGCTGCAGAGGTTGAAAGGGTGGGGGGGTCAGCCTGTCAGTGCTCAGATCATACGCTGCACACTGCATCAAATTGGTCTGCATGTCTGTGTTCCCAGAAGGAAGCCTCTGCTAAAGATGATGCACAAGAAAGGCCGCAAACAGTTTGCTGAAGACAAGCAGACTAAGGACATGGATTGCTGGAACCATGTCCTGTGGTCTGATGAGACCAAGATAAACTGATTTGGTTAAGATGGTGTCAAACGTGTGTGGTGGCAACCAGGTGAGGAGTACAAAGACAAGTGTGTCTTGCCTACAGTCAAGCATGGTGCTGGGAGTGTCATGGTCTGGGGCTGCATGAGTGCTGCCGGCACTGGGGAGCTACAGTTCACTGAGGGAACCATGAATGCCAACATGTACTGTGACATCCTGAAGCAGAGCATGATCCCCTCCCTTCGAAGACTGGGTCGCAGGGCAGTATTCTAACATGATAACGACCCCAAACACACCTCCAAGATGACCATTGCCTTGCTAAACAAGCTGAGGGTAAAAGTGATGGACTGGCCAAGCATGTCTCCAGACCTAAACCCTATTGAGCATCTGTGGGGCATCCTCAAACGGAAGGTGGAGAGCAAGGTCTCTAATATCCACCAGCTCCGTAATGTCGTCATGGAGGAGTGGAAGAGGACTCCAGTGGCAACCTGTGAAACTCTGGTGAACTCCATGCCCAAGAGGGTTAAGGCAGTGCTGGAAAATAATGGTGGCCACACAAAATATTGACACTTTGAGTACACCCCTAAGTAAAGATTTCCAAATTGGACCCACTTTTGTTTCCAGCGGTTTAGGCATTAATGGCTGTGTGTTGAGTTATTTTGAAGATACAGCAAAATTGATACTGTTATACAGGCTGTACACTCACTACTTTACATTGTAGCAGTGTCATTTCTTCAGCGTTGTCACATGAAAAGATATAATAAAATATTTACAAAAATGTGAGGGGTGTACCCACTTCTGTGAGATACTGTATATAGCCTGGGATGGCAAGGCATTCCCCTGCTTCTCCCACCTTCAGTTCTTTTCCTTCTCCAAGTAACAGAGTGCATGGAGATTGCACTGCTGTCCACTGTTAACTCTTCCAGAAGTTCAGGGAAGCAGCACTAAGAGCAGGCGCAAACAGCATTGACAACTGCAAGAGCTGGGGTAAGAATATAAACAAGAGTTTACTGGGGAATTTTGTTTTATTGTACTTAATGTGTTCAATAGAAAATGCTGGGGGCTCAATACTACCGTAAATCAATGTGACAGTGTCTCTTTCACAATATAAAGGTGGGGCTTAACATCATGTGAAGTCCACAGAAAAACAAGGAAAAGATTATATTTGCTAAATTCATTCAGCATGCTGCAAATACTGCAGGTGCTCTTTTATCTTGAGAGAACATAAGGAGCAGACTTACGGTTTTGGAATCCGAAAATGGATTATACTCTTCTAACCCGGGGGGTACATTTCTGGTCACCTGTGTAACTGAAGGATCCTGTAGGAGAAGGGACATTACTTAGTACATGACTGTGAAACCTACTATCATATACCTCTAGCACGTGTGTCGGTCAGCTGCTACCTGAAGCTATTTTAAATGATTAAAACTATTAATTAAGAATATTAGTCACTCTAACCTGCTCCCAGGGAGATTGAGGCCACTCAGCCACAAAAGTGCTCCATACAGTATACAGCTAGAGTATAGAAAGGGTCCAAATGCTGTGGCTTCTCGGGGATTAGATTAAATGGCCCCTCCATAGCCAGCAATAGATCCCACATCTTTATCAGTTTTTTTCTACATGGAATTTTGTGAGCAAGCCTGAGTTGGGCGGGACAGTCACAGAAAAAGGTCACTAAAAAAAACATGCCTAAAGTAACCCATAGCAAACTAGCTTGATAAAATTGGTTCTTAAACTGCTAACATGAGTGAAGTCAAAAGACAGTTTTACAAATTCTGGGGATTGACCTTATTATCTGTCTTGGCAGCAAAGCGAATACATTAAACAGAAACCCTGCCACTTTTCCATTTTCTAAACACAGTCACAGACCTTCACAATGATCATTTATTCTGCAAAATGTTGTGCATGGCCTATAGTATGTGCTCTTAAAAAAAAAAAAAATTGGAATTGGAAAAGGCCTTGCTCATTGTCCATATGCTATGATAACACAGACTCAAAATGGGGGTGATCTGAAATTGGAAACCTTTACTACAATGGGAGTATTAGGTACTCACAGATCAGTTTTGGAGTCTGCTTCCATCAGATGAAGAAATCTGGCATTGTGTACCCCAAAAATCACATCAGAGAGGACAGGGGACACATTTTGTTAGCATTTGCCAGATAGGAACCTGTTATCAGATTCCAAATGAAAGAATGGTACAATCTGATTGGTGGTTGTGAATAATACAGTTCAAATACATGTTGAAAACTGAGGCCGCCACACCAGAGACTCAGGATCTACACCTATATCCACAAAAGATCAGAAAGTCAGATCCTGCAAGGCAGGACCAATAAATATGAAAACCGGTTATAGTTTTATTGTATCATCAAAAAGTGACAAATTTAAATAGGTATTATTTGACACTTTTACTTTATGTAGTCATGCAGTTACGTCTCCCATAGACTTACTATGGGGCATCCATTGTTGACTGTCCATCCTCAACCTTGAAGCTGGAGGACCAGACTGGGACATGCAGGGGATAGGTTAGTATACACATCTTTCTTCTACAGCAGGGGTCTACAATTATTTTAAAAAAGGATCCAATTTACTGTCCTTCAGACTTTAAGGGGGGGGGGGGATTGTGGCCAGTGGGGGTATAAAATGTCCCAGACCCAGCATCAGTGAGAATAAACATTGCCTTGGGGTTGGTGGTCACTAGGAGGAGTAATACCCCATCATTGGCATCGGTGGGGGGAATAGTGCCCCATCATTGGCATCGGTGGGGGGAATAGTGCCCCATCATTGGCATCGGTGGGGGGAATAGTGCCCCATCATTGGCATCGGTGGGGGGAATAGTGCCCCATCATTGGCATCGGTGGGGGGAATAGTGCCCCATCATTGGCATCGGTGGGGGGAATAGTGCCCCATCATTGGCATCGGTGGGGGGGAATAGTGCCCCATCATTGGCATCGGTGGGGGGGAATAGTGCCCCATCATTGGCATCGGTGGGGGGGGAATAGTGCCCCATCATTGGCATCGGTGGGGGGGGAATAGTGCCCCATCATTGGCATCGGTGGGGGGGGAATAGTGCCCCATCATTGGCATCGGTGGGGGGGGAATAGTGCCCCATCATTGGCATCGGTGGGGGGGGAATAGTGCCCCATCATTGGCATCGGTGTGGGGGGAATAGTGCCCCATCATTGGCATCGGTGGGGGGGGAATAGTGCCCCATCATTGGCATCGGTGGGGGGGAATAGTGCCCCATCATTGGCATCGGTGGGGGGAATAGTGCCCCATCATTGGCATCGGTGGGGGGAATAGTGCCCCATCATTGGCATCGGGGGGGGAATAGTGCCCCATCATTGGCATCGGTGGGGGGAATAGTGCCCCATCAATGGCATCGGTGGGGGGAATAGTGCCCCATCAATGGCATCGGTGGGGGGAATAGAGCCCCATCAATGGCATCGGTGGGGGGAATAGAGCCCCATCATTGGTATCGGTGGGAGGAATAGTGCCCCATCATTGGCATCAGTGGGGGGGAATAGTGCCCCATCATTGGTATCAGTGGGAGGAATAGTGCCCCATCATTGGTATCAGTGGGAGGAATAGTGCCCCATCATTAGTATCAGTGGGAGGATTAGTGCCCCATCATTGGTATCAGTGGGGGGGAACAGTGCCCCATCATTGGTATCAGTGGGAGGAATAGTGCCCCATCATTGGTATCAGTGGGAGGAATAGTGCCCCATCATTGGTATCAGTGGGAGGAATAGTGCCCCATCATTGGTATCAGTGGGAGGAATAGTGCCCCATCATTGGTATCAGTGGGGGGGAACAGTGCCCATATTCTTGTACATGTAAGTAAGGGTCTATATGAATGTGTCACAGCTCTTACAGAACTGTAGCAAGCATCTCACTTGCAAACTGCAGAGGACTCACGTCACACTTGCTTTGATCTCTGAAGAGTGAGCTGCTCTTCAGATAGTATTTCACAGACAATGAGGAGGCCTGCTTTAACCCCTCGAACCCCACACTAACACGCCACAAGTGTGTGCATTGCACTTGCAGAGTGGCCTTGTTCACTTGAATGAGTCCTATTTGGAGGGTGCAACACTCGTCATAAGCGACATGATGTAAAATTCCTGCCGTGTCATGTGTTTCACCCATGACCACTGCCTCTTCAGCTAAAGGGAAAGTGGTTGGGAAAGGTAAAACATGGCTCAAGCATGGGGTTTTACTGCCCCTCAACCGCTGTAATCGAGTCCTTACAGGCAGGGAATGTAAGAAAGTAGTGGAAATGTATCCATAATAATTTTCAAGGGTTTAAAGATATTATTTGTTGCAGAATTGTATCAAAGATATGATACAATAAGTACATGTGCAAAACAATTTACCAAAAATGGTAGAGGTCTTATTTATCTCCACGTTCCTTATCACCGATATGGCTTCTAACAATTGTACTTCTAAGACACTCTGACTCTCTAAGATGCTCTTTTTATACCCAATCATGTTACTGACTGGTTGCCAATTAACCTAATTAGTTGCAAAAATGTTCTTCCAGCTCTTCCTTGTTAGTACCACTTACTTTGCCAGCTTTTTGTTGCCTTGTCCCAACTTTTTTTTTTAGATGTGTTGCTGCCATCAATATCAAAATTACCTTATTTACAAAAAAAGAAGGTTCATTTTCTCAGTTTAAACATCTCCAGTTTTCTATTGTGAGTAAAATATGGGTTTATGAGATTTGCAAATCATTGCATTCTGTTTTATGTAGCTTTTACACAGCATACCAACTTTTTTTGGAATTGGGGCTGTATGTCATGCAAGGGCCAGCCCAATCAATCCATTTAATGTGTACAATTAATTGGGTAGGCCTTGTACTAGTGCATTGCTGTTACTGATTCTAAAGGATACTGTACAGATTGTAAAGTGTATGACCAACTTCACGCACAGTATACTAGCAAGGGGATGCCCATTCACTATGCAAATTTTTATAGAAAAACTCCTGGTTGTATGAATGTATAACACAGTGTACACAGTTCAGGGTCTGCAGAATGCATTGCACAGCACAATATGCACGGTGTAGCAGTATGGGGTATGCTCTGCCTTCAGCAGGGACATTCATTAAAGTGGTTGTAAAGGCTCCTGTTTTTTTACCTTCTTGCATTCTATGCATAAAGGTAAAAAACCTTCTGTGTGCAGCAGACCCAGTCCCCCCCTAAGACTTACCTGAGCCCCATCACGACCATGCTTTGTGCATGAGAACCTAGGCTCTCCGGGGATTCACCCCCTTCAGTGGCTGAGACAGCAGCGTGAACCATTGGCTCTCGTTGATGTCAATCACAGCCAGTGAGGAGAGGGGGGGGGGACAGGGCCGAGAAGCAGCTGTGTACGTGAATGAATGTACTCTACAGCGAGTATGCTTGGGTGCCCCAATAGCAAGCTGCTTGCTCTGGGGGCACTAAGCAGGAGGGAGGGGCTGCAGCAGGGGACTTGAGAAGAGGAGGATCGGGGCTGCTGCTTTGCGCAAACAACTGAACAGAGCAGGTAAGTATGTCTGCCTTTAAAATGAGAGGGAGGACAACTCTGTGGAAGTGGGAACCTTTCAAATTCGGGTACCCGCTCCCTCCCCCCTTCCGCTCCCCAAAGGTCTGCAGTCTCTGGTCATCCCCTGTACCACGTCCGCAGTCTCTGGTCATCTGCTGTACCACGTCCGCAGTCTCTGGTCATCTCCTGTACCACGTCCGCAGTCTCTGGTCATCTCCTGTACCACGTCCGCAGTCTCTGGTCATCTCCTGTACCACGTCCGCAGTCTCTGGTCATCTCCTGTACCACGTCCGCAGTCTCTGGTCATCTCCTGTACCACGTCCGCAGTCTCTGGTCATCTCCTGCTCTATGTCTGCAGTCTCTGGTCGTTTCCTGTACTATGTCTGTCTGCAGTCCATTGGTTCAGAATATTTATTTTTTTCATTTTCCTCCTCTAAAACCTAGGTGCGTGTTATGGTCAGATGCGTCTTATGGAGTGAAAAAAAACAGTATACAATGAAAGGTGGATTGGTTTTAGTAAATTCCCTTCACTGTATTTAGTGGAGTGGTCCTGAGAATGCAATGTACAGCAGAGTGCAGTGTACTGGACTATAGTAGCAGGAGCAGCAAGGCTGAAGAATTAAGGGTATAGAACCAGATCTCTTCAATGGATTACACTTACCATTTCTATCCAACTTAATTCACTAATCATGTACATAAAAATAACCTGTGGACTGCAGTGTCACACCAATGCTCAGCAAAAAACCATGATTCTATGCAGTTCATTTACACCTAATTTCCTTGTAAATCAATAACTAGACTGACGTAGAACAGTCT